AAACATTGTACTCACCTGGAAGGTCCAACTTGTTTGCATTATCGTTTATCTTTTCAATAATTTGAAATGGACCATCGCTCTTCGGTTCCAACTTAGACTTCCTTTGTTCCGGAAACTGCTCCTTCCTAAAGTGTACCCAAACCCAATCGCCAGGCTCGAATGTCACGTGCTTCCTACCTTTGTTCGCCTGCGGTGCAACCAACTTACTTTTGTTTTCAATTTGCGCTTTTATCTTTTCATGGAGTGACTTAATCAATTTCGTCTTCTTTTTGCCATCTAAACTACCATGTTCATTCACAGGTAAAGGAATTAAATCCAAAGGAGTTAGTGGATTAAAACCATATACAATTTCAAATGGAGAATATAATGTAGTAGAGTGAACATCTCGATTGTATGCAAATTCAACAAATGGTAGACACTCCTCCCAACTCTTCAAATTTTTATTGATTATTGTGCGTAACAATTGTGTCATAGTCTTATTCACTACCTCGATTTGCCCATCCGTTTGTGGATGACAAGTTGTGGAAAATAGTAACTTAGTGCCTAACTTACCCCACAAAACTCTCCAAAAGTGACTCAAAAATTTGACATCCCGATCCGACACTATGCTTCTAGGAACCCCATGTAAACGCACAATCTCTTTAAAGAATAAGTCAGCAATGTTCGTGGCATCGTCAGTTTTGTGACATGGTATAGAATGCGCCATTTTGCTTAACCTATCTACAACCACAAAAATAGAATCCCGACCTCTCTTAGTCCTAGGTAAATCCAAAACAAAATCGATCGAGATATCAACCCAAGGCTCACTAGGTGTAGGTAAAGGTGTGTACAAATCTTGTGGTAAAACCTTAAATTTAGCCTTTTTACAACCTATGCATCGACTACAAATTCGTTCAACATCACTTTTCATCTCAGGCCAATAAAAATGCTCCTTCAATACATCTAAAGTCTTTTGAACCCCAAAGTGTCCCATCAATCCACCACTATGTGCCTCACTTACTAACAACTCCCGAATAGAAATATTAGGAACACATAACCTATTTTCCTGAAATAAATACCCCTCATGCCTAAAGAACCTATCAACCACACCTTTTATGCATGAAAAATAAATATCCAAAAATTTAACATCTTTTTCATACAATTCCTTAATATGTTCAAACCCAAGTAGCTTAGAATCAAGAGTAGTTAGTAATGCGTACCTTCACGACAACGCATCCGTCACCACATTTTCCTTACCTTGTTTATACCCAATGACGTATGGAAAGGTCTCAATGAATTCCATCCACCGTGCATGCCTCTTGTTCAATTTATCTTGTCCCCGCAAGTGCTTTAGTGACTCATGATCGGTACTGTATTACGAACTCTTTCGGCCATAGATAATGTTGCCAAGTCTCCAAAGCTCGAACAAGTGCATGAAGTTCTTTGTCATATGTAGGATAATTTAAAGCAGCTCCACTCAATTTCTCGCTAAAGTATGCAATAGGCCTCCGATCCTGCATTAAAACTGCTCCAATCCCTATTCCTGATGCATCACACTCAATCTCGAATATTTTATCAAAGTTAGATAATGCCAAAATAGGTGCTTCACACAACCTACCTTTAATGGTATTAAATGCAAGTTCCTGTTCATCACCCCGATGAAAACCTATACTCTTTTTAACTACTTCCGTGAATGGTGCGGTGATAGTACTAAAATCTTTCACAAAACGCCTATAAAAACTAGCCAAACCATGAAAACTCCTAACCTCCGTTATGCTTTTAGGTATCGACCAATCTCTAATAGCTTTTATCTTTTCATCGTCTACTTCTACCCCATTAGCACTAACCACAAAATAAAGAAAAATAACTCTATACATACAAAACCTACATTTCTTAAGATTAGCTTAGAGTTGTTCTTTTTTTTTTAAACAATTAACACACACTTTAAATGTTCCAAATGCTCTGCTGGGTCTTTGCGATAGATTAAGATGTCGTCAAAATAAACCACAACAAATTTTCCTATAAAAGCACGTAAAACATGATTCATTAAGCGCATAAAAGTGCTAGGTGTATTTGTGAGTCCAAACAGCATAACCAACCATTCATATAAACCATATTTAGTTTTAAAAGCCGTCTTCCATTTATCACCCTCCCACATACGAATTTGATGATACCCGCTTTTTAAATCAATTTTAGAAAATATGCAAGCACCATGTAATTCATCAAGCACGTCATCTAACCTAGGTATAGGGTGACGATACTTTACCGTTATGTTGTTGATAGCCCTACAATCCACACACATTCGCCATGTTCCATCCTTCTTTGGTAAAAGCAAAATCGGTACCGCACAAGGACTCATACTTTTCCTCACGTATCATTTGCTCATCAACTCCTCCACTTGCCTTTGAAGCTCCTCAGTCTCCTTGGGATTACTTCGATAAGCCGGTCGATTTGGAATGACAGCTCCAGGTATAAAGTTAATTTGATGTTCAATGCCTCGAATAGGCGGCAATCCACTTGGTGCATCCTCCAAAAATACATTTTCGAATTCCTGTAACAAAGACTTAGCCAAACTAGAGAGGGATGGGTTAGTTCCCTCAAAATTGAGGAGTGATTCCTTATAAACGAACAAGATCATATCTGTTCTGTCAACTACCGCCCTCCTCAAATCACTCTCTTTTGCAAAGAAATTCACTCGTGTTTTCTCTCTTCTCTCGGGGAACTCTCTTTCTTTTCTCTCTTGTTATTGCTCTCTCTTTGTCTCTCTAATGGCTATCTCAACATTTTCTCTCTTTTTCTCCAACTCACTATTTGCTCTCATTTTTTCTAACTCTTTGACTCTCCTCTCTTCCTCACTTCTCAATTTTAATTGGTCCTCATAGACTTGCGCCGGTGTTAATGGCACAAGAGTAATGGTCATTCTATCCTTAATGAAACTATATCGATTTTTGTGCCTTTCATGCATAGCCTTCCTATCGTATTGCCATGGTCGCCCCAATAAAATATGTACCGCTTGCATTGATACCACATCACACACTAACTCGTCCTTATAACTCCCAATTGACAAATTAAGTAACACCCTTCGATTTACCCTCACCTCGCCACTCTCATTCAACCATTGCAAATTATAAGGTCTCGGGTGTCTCCACAATGTTAAACCCGATTTTTCTACAAGAGATTCGCTAGCTGCATTAGTGCAACTACCACCATCAATTAAAACACTACATACCGTATTGTTGACGTGGCATCGAGTGTGAAAAATGTTCTCCCGTTGCAACTCCAAGTCATCTGCTTTGACATGAGTAGTGAGAGCTCACCTTGAGACTAGTAGATCCCCAACCGGCCCTTCCACTTTTTCTTCTTCATTAACACCTTCCAACACCGGCATGTCATCAAACTCGCCATCACTATCGCTCACAATCTCTCCATTATCCCGCAACACCATCGCCCATTTGTTTGGGCATTGAGAAGCAATATGTCCCGTTCCCAAACACCTAAAATATTTGATGTCCAGATTGTGTAACGGTTGTGCCTCCGATTTTTATATTGGTTTGCTAGCATTTTCATCCTTGTCCTTTTGCCAATCATTTTTACCTCTAGGTGCAGCCCCGTTTTTGTTGTTGTCATTCCACTTCGATTTTCATGTTGGATTAGGAGTTGAAGTACCTAATGGTTGCCTAGACGTCCCCTTTCTCTTCAATTGCCTCTCGACCTTCATTGCCACATGTAACATGTCCTCAATTTCCACATAATGTTGCAACTCTACAACGTTTGCAATATCTCGATTTAACCCATTCAAGAACCGTGTCATGGTAGCTTCCCGATCTTCCTCCACATTAGCCTGAATCATAAGAATTTCCATCTCCTTGTGATAATCCTCTACGCTTTTCGATCCTTAGTACAAACCTTGCAATTTTTGATGGATTTTCCTATAATAGTGACTCGGAACAAACCTCCTCCTCATCAACATCTTCAACTCATCACAAGTGCTAATTGGCCTTTCCCGACCCCTACGCCGTGATGTAAGTACTTGATCCCACCAAGATATCGCGTAATCCACGAATTCAAGCGCCGCCAATTTTACCTTTTTCTCCTCTGAATAATTATAACACTCAAAAATCATCTCAACCTTTCTTTTCCACTCTAAATATACTTCCGAATTGCTTCTCCCCTTAAATTGCGGAATAGTCATTTTAATACTCCCCAAATTTCCGTCTACTTCATCTCCCAAGTTATTCCTACCCCGTCTTTCCATCCTATCACCCCTATGCCTCGCTCGACCCATATCAATGTCATTTTCATCAAAATCATCATCATCACTATGATACTCATCCCTCCTTCCTCTCCTAGATTCACGCCTACCCGGCCCCCTAGCATTAGACATCTCCACTTGTCCCCGGCTAAGATTAGCAATTGTAGTACTGATTTGCGCCATCCATTCCCCTTGTCTATCCACCTTCTCCTTAACATCACCAAGTACCCTTTCAAACCTCCTTATCATGTCCTCCGATGTATTGTTGTCATTACCGTTTCGGCTTGAATTAGAACCTTCTCTTTCCGACATCATATCACACAATTTTTATGCCTCACAAAGATTTCACTCGAAAAACACTCACTGTGGCTTTTTCCCTCTATTAAACTCACCACTCGGCCTTTTACCACTCAAAGTCTCACTCCAAGCACTTCAAAGAACCAAGTGAATTAAATCAATTATTTTACCGGGAATTCAAACAAACTGAATATTAATCGAAGATCATGAGACTCAAAGGACTTGATTAAGTGGAATAGATGAATGTTTTGACATGAATATGTGAATAGACTCAAAAGAAGATTGAAAGAATCGAACCCAATTGAATATCCCAAAATCAAACAAAATGTAGGAATTGTTGTTGGCAGAAAAAACAAAATCAAACAATAATAATATCAATTTTTTTGTTTTTGTTTTTGTTTTTGTTTTTGTTTTTGTTTTTGTTTTTGTTTTTGTTTTTGTTTTTGTTTTTGTTTTTGTTTTTGTTTTTGTTTTTGTTTTTGTTTTTGTTTTTGTTTTTGTTTTTGTTTTTGTTTTTGTACACTTTTTTTTTTTACTCCTTGATGAAAGAAGACTACCAACAACTCAACGAAATGACGAAAAGAAAAACAAGAACGAAGAAGAACTAAGAAAGAACAACTAAAATTGAAGAAGAAACTAAGAAAACAAAATTAACGACTCAAACAAATAAAGAAAAGATATAACATTCAATTAATTTGGAGCCAAAGCTCTGATACCAACTGATGCGAACCCCGTAGCAACGTTGACTACGAAACCCACAACGAGATTGACGAACCCAAGAAAGCCAAATTAATCCAAGAGTTTAGGATTAATCCAAAAGAAAGTTGAACCAAAAAACCCAACAAGAACGATGCTTGAAAGACCCCTTGATCACGCAATTCAAGAATTAAATCCGGTTCTTTGAACGCCACAAGTTAATACTTGATAAGTTCCAAGTTGTTTAATGAAGAACGATGAAGAGAAGACAATACGCCTCACTTTAATTCAATATCAATAATGTCAAAAGTTTTTTTTTAATTGAATGGAAACTCCTATTTAGACTAAACCTAAAAACTAGGTAAAAATCGTACAAAAGTCGATCATCATCCCCAAAATATGGAAAAGAATAAAAAAAAACTAACAAAATATGGAAAATTGCCAAAATTGGAAAATTCACCAAATTTTGGTTGCATGGTTCAACCAAAAATCCATCTTGAGTTTTGGTTTGCCTCCATACGGTCGCATGATGTTTTAGCTGTGCGGCCGCATAGGCTTGTTTTCAGCCTCCGGTTTCATCGCTTGATAACAAATTGATCCAAGTTAATTCGACCTTCGACCCGAACATAAAAGTTGCTCCATTTTGAGTCCCGAACATGGTTCCATCAATGGTTTCTTAAACGAGCAATCCCATCGCTTGTTTCACTTGCTTTATCCTTGATCGTGTCATTGGTCCTCCATCGATTGTTAACGGATCTCGTCCCACACTCGCGTTCATCGTGCTCGACTCCTGGATCATATCAGGTATAGATATGGATGAGAAATTTTGTATAAACCTCCTATAAAAATCTGCATGTCCAAGAAATGATCTAATGTCCTTTACTGTCTTGGGTGTAGGCAATTTAGAGATCAATTCAATTTTTGACTTATCTACTTCTATCTCTCTTGAAAAAATAACATGCCCTAGGACAATACCGGAAGACACCATGAAATGACATTTTTCCCAATTTAAAACTAAGCCTTTTTTTTCACATCTAGCCAAGACTCTTTTAAAATTTAACAAACATGCATGAAAGGAGGTCCCAAAAACAGTGAAGTCATCCATAAAAATTTCCATGCAATCATCTACCATATCACTAAACATACTCATCATGCATCTTTGAAATGTGGTAGGGGCATTGCAAAGTCCAAATGCCATTCTACGAAATGCATAGGTACCAAAAGGATACGTGAATGTGGTTTTTTCCTGGTCTTCTAAAGCAATCTCAATTTGATAGTATCCTGAATAGCCATCTAGAAAACAGTAAAAGGGATGACCAGCCACACGTTCAAATATTTGGTCCAAAAAGGGAAGGGAAAAATGGTCCTTGTGAGTGGCAGCATTTAATTTCCTATAATCAATGCACATGCGCTAACCAGTTACCGTTTTTGTAGGGACTAATTCACCTATTTCATTTTTTACTACAGTGACACCTGACTTCTTGGGGACTACCTGTGTAGGGCTAACCCATTTACTGTCTACAATTGGGTAAATGATTCATACGTCTAGAAATTTAAGTACCTCATTCTTTACCACTTCATTCATTGTGGGGTTTAGCCTACGTTGTGGGTCTCTCCTAGGATTATCCCCTTTCTTTAGATGTATCATATGGGAACAAATTAAAGGACTAATACCTTTGATGTCGGCCATGGTCCACCCTAATGCAGATTTGTGTTCATTCAGAATGTTTAAAAGTTGTTTACATTGTAATACATCCAATTCTGACGAGGTAATGATAGGAAAGGTATCACCTGGTCCAAGGAACACATGTTTCAGTCCTGTAGGAAGTTGTTTCAATTCTGGCTAAGAGCTTTCAATACTTGATGGCTTCTGTCCTCCAGTCCTTTCTGGCAATTCTTCAAACTTGGGTTGCCATGGTGAAGTCCTGTGGTCCTGCAATTTTGCAAAAATAGCACAAATGTTAGCATACTCATTAACATCAAAACCACATAAAATTTTAGAATTTAGGATAAAAGAGCTCAAAGGGTCAGAATCAATTGTTGTGGGTGCTTCCTCCTGAGTGAGTGCATCAATCATGTAGGTTTGATGGCATTCATCTTCTTCCGTAGGTTGTTTGGTGATATGGAAAATATTGATTTCTAGAGTCATATTTCCAAATGTCAACTTCATCAGACCATTCTTGCAATTGATAAGAGCATTAGTTGTAGCAAGGAAAGGTCTACCAAGTATAATAGGGATTTTAGAGTTAACATCCACCTCAACCTTCACATATAATACCAAGAAATCAACGGGATAGTAAAATTTATCAACTTGAACTAACACATCCTCAACTACTCCCCTTGATCGTATGGTGGATCGGTCAGCTAACTGTAGCGCCACTGAGGTGGGTTTCATCTCTCCTAGACCTAGCAACAATTATATAGCAAAAGGCATGAGGTTAACACTAGCTCCTAAATCAAGAAGGGCTTGTGTAAACTCACGATTTCCAATGACATAAGAAATGGTAGGACAACCAGGGTCCTTATACTTTGGTGCGATCCTTTGTTCTATCACAGCACTCACTTGCTCGATCAGAAAAGCGGTTTTCTTGACATGATGTTTTCTCTTCACAGTACATAAGTCTTTAAGGACTTTAGCATATGTAGGAACTTGGGAGATCACATGCAAGAGAGGCAAATTGATTTTGACTTATCTGAGGTATTCTAGGATTTCATTATGCTGACCTGTTGATTTCGAAGTCGACTTGAGAGCTTGAGGGAAAGGTATTCTAGCTAGGTTTTCCGCAACTTCCTCACTAGGACTGCTCTCATTAGGCTCACTTGGCTCTTTTCCGTTCTCTCTAGGTGGAGAGGTTGGTTCTACAACCTTTCCTGATCTAGTGGTTATGGCATTTGCCTCCTTAAAATTGGTTTTTTCGGATCCTGAGGTTTGTGCCATGTGTTGCCCTTTTGGGTTTGGTTGAGCTTGGGCTGGAAACTTCCCACATTCCCCTACAGCTAAGGCATTGGTTAATTTAGACATATGATTCTTTATCTCTTTGTTTTCCTCGACTACCTTGGCAATCATAGTCTCAAAATTTTGATTTGTTTTGCCTTGTGCCTCGATGAATGCATGTAGGGTGTCTTCTAAGGAATTCCATCGAGTTTGTTAGGCATGTTGTTGGTTCTCAGACTTCTAACTAAAGTTGGGATGATTCCGCCACCCTGGGTTATAGGCCTCGGAGTAAGGAGTGTAGGGCTTTTGATATATGCCTAAAGCATTATAGTGTTCCTCATAAAGTCCCATCATCTCAGCATAAGTAGGACACTCTTGTGCTAGAAGATCACTCCCTCCACACACAAAACAAGGCTCTAAAGGCTCAACACGGGAAACAAATCGAGTGGTTTTTGAATCCTTAGCATGCAAGTTTTCAAGTTCTCTAGTAAGGGCTTCTACTTTTGCTCTAAGGTTATCTTCCTCCTTAAGATGATAAATACCTGTGCTATTTGAGTTTCCAGTGGATCGTAACCTATTAGTACTCTCGATGGCATTAGGTCCAGTCCAGGTATGGGCTTTCTCAGCTAAGTCATCTAAGTAGTCTATAGCCTCATCCGGATCTTTTTGCAAAAATTCAACATTACACATCATTTCAATAAATTGACGCTCCCTACGTAATAATTCCTCATAAAAATAGCTCACAATGCGCCAACTTTCATAACCGTGGTGGGGTCAGAGGGCTTGCAATTCTTTGTACATTTCCCACGCTTGATATAAAGTTTCACTCTCCTTTTAAGTGAAAGATCAGATTTGCTTTTTCAATGAAGTTGTTTTGTGGTAGGGAAAGTACTTGCCAAAGAATGCTTGAGTCATTTCAACCCAAGTCCCAATCGAACGTGGTCGCAATGAATACAGCCAGCTCTTTGCTCTTTCTTTAAGAGAAAACGAAAAAAATATAAGCCTGGTTGCATCCATTGTACCACTTTGATTGTGGGAAGTTGCAAACACCTCTTCAAATTCCCTAATATGCACGTATGGGTTTCATTTTCAAGATCGTGAAAGGTGGGAAGAAGTTGAATCATTCCTGGTTTAAGGTCCATACGTGACATATTAGGTGGAAATATAATGCATGATGGTGTAGATGTGCGTGTGGGGTGAAGATAATCATGCAAAGTCCTACTTGGTGCCTCTTCATGTTCACTATCAGTCATTGTGTTATGTGATGTGATGTGTGTGCCAATAGATTCAGTATCAAAGAGACGATTAGGAAGAAATTCAAACAGTGGTTGCGGCCTTGCAATGAATCGTCCCTCCTCGTCTCGATCTCTGTTCATAAAGCACCAAAAAAATATGGAATTTTGTGAGAAATAATAGAATAAAAACTAATAAAATTAAACTAACTAAAAAAATGTAAAAGAGGAACGAAATCACCCTTTTGCTCAAGAATCCTTCAATTATTTGTACTATCTCCCTGGTAACGGTGCCAAAATTTGATTACGCCCAAAGAATAACGCAGTGATTGTAGTACAGCTTTGGGGTGTCGTATCCACAGGGAGATGGAAGATTTCTCAAAGGATCAAACAAATTAGAGTTTTCGTAATTAAATGTGGGAATGATTTGTCACTTGGAATAAAAATTAATTATCAATATACGAAATTAGTGAAGCGTCGAAGTTCCCCCATTGGATTGGATCAATCAACATCAATAATTCATGTATTTTTATTCAATTAGAGGTTTTCTACCCAACTCTCTAATTAGAAGATTTAATAACGAAGTCCAATTTTATTCCAATTATATTTTTAGAATCTAGATTTTATATAACACATTCGCACATTTTTATTAGAATAAGATCAAAGGTCGACCATATACGTCAGGCATAATGCAGTAATCAATCCTCCAATAAAGTGATATTAAGATTAAAATTCAACAATTATTTCAATCATTCGATAGAAAGAGCATGTCTAGATCTATGAAGGTTTTGATAAAAATTAAAATAATCTCAACAATAAGTAATTTAAATTGAAACTCAACAAATAGTTTAATTTAACAATAGAAAAAGCATGACTGAATCCATGATAAATTTATTAATAGTTAAACAAATTTCAATACTAATTCATAGCAAGAAAATCCAAATCTAGAAATTATTAAGCAAAGAAAGTTCGAATTACATGAAATTATGACGTGAAATCTCCAAATCCAATGAGTTCTTTCGTGGCTTTACCAAAGATTTTAGTTCTTCATGGAGTTTCTTATGCCAATGGTGAGAGAAAAGTGATCCAGAATGAATGGAGGCGCTCTGATACGTTTTTGGGGTTAAAACCGTGTGCAAAACTCGTTTTCACAAGAGGTTGAACCGAATAAGGAAAGTAAATTTTTGGTCAGAATTTTCTGTGTGACTGTTTTCAGTATTTTCGTTATAACTTTCTCGTCCGACGTCTGATTGAGGTGATTCAAGTTTCATTGGAAAGCTAACTCAAAGTACTACAATCGTGACAGAAATAGCTCTTTCCAAATTCGGATGTTTACTAGGTCAAACGTTGATCTCAATCTTCGGCTCAAAATCTGAAAATCCTTATATCCAATTAGAATTTGATTTGTGAAAATATTATAGGCATATTTAACTTCTTTTGACTTCTAATTGCACCAATGGACTCCTAAATTTCTCAAATCATCATTTTATCGCCCATCTCATCTATGAATTATTTACAACTTGGTCCCTGAACTTTCACTTTTTCTCGCTTTGGTCCTTTTTCATTTGTTTCTTCCAAATTCACCGTTTTCACCAAAATGCAACCTAAACCAAAACATAAGAGTAATGAGTACATTTTGACATAATATAATCACATGAATGCAATAATTAAGAGGGGAAAATATGGTATTTTACACTCTTATCAAGACATCATTCTTGCATGAAAAACTTGAGAAGGAAATTTACATGCAACAACTAGAAAGTTTCATAGTTTTTGGAAATGAAGACTATTTGTGCTTGTTAAAGAAATCCTTGTATGGACTAAAGTAGTCATCAAAACGATGGTATAAAATGTTCGATTCATTAATGACTGCTCATAGTTTCATTAGAAGTAATTATGATAGTTTTGTGTACTTCAGAAAGAAAGATGGTAGATCGATCATATATTTGCTACTATATTTTCATGATATGCTTATATCAACCAATGATAAAGCAGAGATCAAAAAGGTGAAATATCAACTTAGTGAGGAATTCGAAATGAATGATTTGGGTGCAACAAAAAAAAATCTTGTCATGAAAATTTTGATGAATAGAAAGACTAGCATATTGTATTTGAGTAGGAAGGGGTACATTGAGAAGGTGTTTCAAAGGTTCAATATGTTGAATGCTAAGGTTGTCAGTATTTCTTTAGCTATCCACTTTAATTTATCATCTAGATTATGTCCTCAAACAGATGAAGACATTGATTTTATGTTTCGAGTTCCTTATTCCAATGCAGTTGGTTCGCTTATGAATGCTATGGTTTGTACAAGACTATATTTGACATATGCAATCGGTACAGTTAGTAAATACATGGCAAATCATGGCAAGAAAGATTGAAAAGTAATATAAGGAATATTCAGATACTTGAAGGGCTCTACTAATACTTGCTTACATTTTGGTAGAAAATATAGATGGTATCATTGGCTATATAGATTCAGAGTATGCAGGGGATCTTGATAAGATGAGATCACTTATAGGGTATATGTTTACCCTTGGGGGTTGTGCTATCAACAGGAAAATTATTTTGTAAAAAAAAAGTAGCTTTGTCTATAACGGATGTAGAAGACATGGCCAGTACAAAGGCAGGTAAGGAGACTATGTGATTAGAAAGATTGATTGGTGAAATTCACGAGGACTTGCAGATTTCTACAGTATATTGTGATAGTCAGAGTGCTATTTTTCTACTAAGGATCAGATGTTCCATGAGAGCACTAAACAATTGATGTGAGGTATCATTTTGTGCATGATGTGATTGCTCGTTGTGATATTGTAGTGAGCAAGATTGATACCAAGTATAATCTTGCTCGTGGAGATGTGTTTTTGGAATTCAAGGTAGAGATTAGTTGTAATTTGCCCAAAATTCTAGTGGGTATTAGAGTTTTTATTGAAATGGTATTGAAGAGATCAAAATTATGGATCGAGAAGAAAATTCACCGCATTTTCGCTAGCCTACCTCAAGCTGACCGCTTGAGCAGCACCTACATATTTTCTATAGAGATTTGTCGCCCGCTTGTCACATGAGCACAAGGTTATTCAGCCCAAGTCCGTTTCGCGTGTTAACACTTTTTTGGACTTTTATTCATCTACAACTTGACTTATAGGGTTTCATAAATATAAATCACGGCTTGTATAGTTCTAATAACATTCATACAATATGTGGGGAGCTTTAAATCTTAGTCAACTTGACTTATAGGGTTTCAAAAATATAAATCACGGCTTGTATTGTTCTAATAACATTCATACAATATGTGGGGAGCTTTAAATCTTAGTCAACTTGACTTATAGGGTTTCAAAAATATAAATCACGGCTTGTATTGTTCTAATAACATTCATACAATATGTGGGGAGCTTTAAATCTTAGTTGAGAATATAGAGATCTTGTTGTAAACATAATTATTATTGATTATAGTGGATTTCTTCTCATCTGCCTGTGGTTTTTCCCGTCTTGCATTTCCACATAAATCTTTGCGTTCTTATTTTTGTTTTTGTTTATTTTGTTATTGTCATTATCTTGCGATCAATTAATAATAATAGGTATCAGAGTGATTTTGGTATTTTGTTTGTTCATGACAAAGTTGTATGTTGATATATGATACATTAAAAGTAAAGTGTCAAATAGTATCATTGACATAAATTCAAAAAGAAAGGATAACCCTTACATTTTCAAAGTCTTTTTCACATACTATTATGTCTATATATTTCAGAAATTGCTCTAATGATGTCTCTTTGATTGTTTCATGTGATTTTAGTTAAAGAAAATATTTTATTAATATTAAGCTTTTAGTTAAACTTAAAGTCTAAATCAATATAAAAGGTCCAAAAGCACTTAATGTGGATAAATATTAGTGGATGAATATAA